TCTACTCTGAATCCAGTGCCTGGAGGTCGCTTCCAGGCTATCCCTGCAGCATCCATAGCAGCGGGGTCTGGATGTGGCATTCCAAAAGTCAGGCTGAGAATGATTGTGCCAGGTAGCCACAATGAAAGACCAGCTCTAGAAGCCATATAGAAAAGAGTTGTGACTAAAGAAAATTATTGATGAGTAAGGGGGGGGAAAAAAAGGAAAAAAAAAAAAGGAGAAGGTTAGAAGTAGAAGTCCATCCTCTTCAGACACTACCAAAAAATGAGGCACGCTGGTAGTAGAAGGTGTTATCCTGTTCTGGCATACAGGTCTTTTGTTTGCAAGAAGTATAACCCGACTGCCTAGTGTTTTGTAGGCAGAAGTATAACCTGAAAGTGAAAGACTTACTGTGTCCCTCAATGGACAAAAAAGGAAAGAAGATTTGGAAACCCAACTAAAAACAAAACAATCTAAACCTCTACCATTAAAAGTTAAAAATATGTCAGGGCCAGGCTGCATAAGAAGGTGCAAAAAAGGTTATACAACTTGTAAAACCTGGACCTCAAAATACTTTCTGTCCATCATGAAACCTTTCCATGTCAGACTAGAAAACAAATTGAAAATAAGCTGCCTGAATGAAAAGCTGAACTCCAGGAAAGAAGCTAAAAAAGGAGAACTATGGGGAGAGTGAAATAAACTTATCCCCATAGTTAGAGCCAACGTGTGACACTGAGGTGGTCACGCGTCAGTTCTATAGATCAAGAACAGAGCAATCACATACCGCTAAATGCAGAGCTCCCGATCTTCTACCTGCAGAGAACAGTAATTGGCAGTCACCGCTCTCCACAGGAATTCCCCCTTCCCCTCTCCGTTCCTCCAGTACCGACTGGAGGAATGGACGGGGGGATAGGGCACGCACTGCTGGCTCTGCCTCTAGAGAGGCAGCTGTCAAATCAGGTGGCGGCTCACAGAAGGACATAGTACATGCCCTCCTGTTACCCTCATAGAACTTTGGCCAAAAAAAAGGTTGAGCCATAGTTCACTTTAAATAAACATTTAAACATTTAGAACAGTTTTACCTGCATTTCTGTTCAGCCACTCTTGTGATCCAGATACCTGCCAGAGAGGCTAGGCAGATCTTCAACTAGCACTGCAGCAGTAGTTCAGCTTGGTTAAGAATACAGGGCCAAAATACACTTACTGCCCGTTGGCTAGACAATGAATCATCAGAACATGAATGAGGCAATCAACCTGCCCTCTCCTGTCAGCAAGTTCACTGTCAGTATACAGGTGAAACTCGAATAATTAGAATATCGTGCAAAAGTAATTGCAGTAAGTGCTGCAAAAGGGGCCCAAACCAAGTACTGAGTACATATGCATGCTTGTACTTTTCAGAGGTCCGATATTGTTCTATGTACAATCCTTGTTTTATTGATTGCATGTAATAATCTACTTTTTTGAGGTTGTGGATTTGGGGTTTTCATGAGCTGTAAGCCATAATCATCACAATTATGACAAATCACAGCTTGAACTATCTTGCTTTGCATGTAATGAGTCTATCTCATATATTAGTTTCACCTTTTAAGTTGCATTAGTGAAATAAATGAACTTTGCACGATATTCTAATTATTCGAGTTTCACCTGTATGTGCATGCAGCAAAGCCTCATTGCTTCAAAGTGCTTGCCCTCCCTTTACTAATCCGAGTGCTGCTGTACAGGGTTATTACTGCTGTGCAAGGGAAAAAATTTAATAAAGCACATTTTATGTTTTTTTTAATGGACTTTACAACTGCATTATTTGCTGCATTTTATATCTGCCCGGAGTTTAGCTTTAAATATTTTTCCTCCGACCTAAAAAGCTGTCACAGTCATACAATTTGGACAACAATCGTTCTTCAATAGAAATACTTCATCTCCATTTTGCTAACAGTGAATCTGACAGGCTGATTAACAATTGCTACCTTAAGCTGCGTTTGCAGACACAAGTGGCTGAGAATTCTCAGGAGAAACAATGATCAGACCAGATAGAAAAAAAGACAGGCAGAGCAGGGAGCTGCATATGCGCCTCCTTTATACCTCGTCAAAAGTATAAACATGGATGTTCAGTCAAGCATTCATGTTTATGTTTAAAGCTGGCCATGTAGACATCTAAACATGGTAGAACAATGCCTGCATGTTCAACCGTCCTCTGATGTCTATGGCCAGCTTAAAGTGACACTAAACTCAGGAGTTTAATCTTAAAAATGCATTCAAGTACCTTAACTATTAACAAAAATGTATCTTATTTGTGTATCACTCGGCTGTAGAGCCTCAAATCATCCCTGAATTTGTGCGGACACTGTCCTCCCTTCTGGAGGGTGGATACCATTCTTCTCCTACTTTACAATACGCACAGGGACAATGGGGAACAAAAGTAGCCACCCTCCAGAAGGAAGGACAGTGTCGGCACAAATTCAGAGATGAGTTGAGGCTCTACAGCTGAATGATACACAACTAAGATACATTTTTGTTAATACTTAATGTACGTGAATGTATTTTTAAGATTTAACTTCGTGTCACTTTAAAACTTGGGAATAAAAAAAAAAAGCCTCAACACCCTAACAATACAGTCTCTCTGTTTTTATTGCCACAAAAAAAAAACTAAAATAAACAGCTATGATAAATTAAACAATGCAAATCAAAGTTTAAATGATGTAGTTAACTAATAAAAGTGAGTATTTTGCACAATAAATAAAACAAAAATGTGAGACAATCTGTAAATAATATAAACTGTCTCCTAACAATAGTACAACTGACAAAAGGTTTTCCAGTACATTTTGAAAGTTTGTATTTGTCAGCTACCTTGGACCTCTAAGGTTTGCAACAAGCAGACATCACAGCCTTGGGTTACTTGGAAATGGAGCTAAATGCTAGAGGAATATAGGATTACTGCTCCTAAAGCCAGATGGAATTAATTTCTAAACATAAATGCCTCATACACACAAGTGTCTGAAGAGAACACTAGGCATACTAGTAACTAATGCAATGAGGACCAATATTAGCACATGCAGGAGGACCAAAGCAGCCGAGAACTTTTGGAAAATCTTGGAAACTCTCAAAATGTAACAGACTACTGCAGGCTCTGAATAAAGTGGCCCATGGTTAGGAAAACAAGTTTCTGTTCTAACAGAAATAACTAGAAAACAACAACATATGTTAAGAACAAGAACTTCGACAATACAAAACAAAAAAAATGTACAAAATTAGTTTTCCTGCCCTTGTACTGCAGCTCTTAAGGTTTCACACTATGGTAGTGCGTTATCGAACGCGCAGTAATGTGTGTTAGGCTAAGGCAGCCTATTCATTTTGAATGGGTGGGCAACGCACCACAATAGGCATTTTAAAGGACGTGCACTTTCCTTTTTATTAAAAGGTAAAGTCCACTTTTTTGAAAATAATAATAATAAATGCAGACTTCTTCATAAAATAAAACAATTAGCATTTTTGTGCAATGGAGCCAGTAAAGCATTGCAACCTCAATTAGTGGATCGCGGGTGCAATGCTCTGTCTCCTGTAGACTCGCCCTGCTGTCCCAAGGTATGGACATTCAGTAACATGGATGGGAGAAAGAATGAATGGACTACAAGTGTAGTGATGTCGCTGCACTTGTATTTCATTGAGACATACAAGTCCCTCTACCCCAATGGTTGATGGGACTTGTAGCGTTTCCTTTCACAGATCTTGTCAAAGGATCTGTGAATGGATCATTCAGCTGTGTGAACGCAGCTATGCTAAATTCAAAAAAGAGCAGCGGACTGCGGGGAGAAGAGCCCACAATTGCAGAAATGTCATCATGCCATTGTAAAGAGCTTACGTATCATTGGATGCAAGTTATTTTGCTTTTCAAAAGGTGCATTTGTGCTAAATGTGAGTTCCATGAAACATTTATAATAATGATCTCACAAAAGAGGATTGTCTGCCCAAAACACATACAGATGCCTTCCCTTAACAAATAGAATATCAACTATACCACAGCTGATTGACTGCAACCACTGTTCAGCCGAGAATTTTCAGACTGGCTTCTTAGGGAGAAAAAAAGTCAACTGAGATACTAACAGGGCCATTATTTCCTTGCTGTGTAGCAAAGTGTTTTGAGGAACATACACACATACATACATACATACATACATAGGGAAAAGACATCAAGTTGTATAAAATTGCCTCTGGATCCCGTTTCTTAATGCATGTATAAGAGTAAAACACCTGTATAACATGGACGGGCCATCTAAAGTAAGATTTAGTGGCCGGTCGTTGACATGCATTTATATCAACAAGATGCCAGCTATAAATTGTTAGGTCCTTTGGCACCCTGGATCCTTTATGTTTTCCAGCTGCACAATAAAGAACTATTTGTTGAGCACACGACAATGCAGTAGAACGTCTTCCTATGACTGCAGAGTAGTTCTAAATTCTGCATGGCTTAGCAGAACACCGAATACCATGGTGAAGAAAATGTTCTGCTTTATGGTGACCTACAGTATTTATACCAGTATATTTCCACCAACAATTGTTACTAGAGCATCTTATCGCTGGCAATTTAGTGTTGCTGTGCTTCTGGGAGAAAATCAGAGCAGACATTAGTACCACAAGGTTTTGCAGCAAAACATTAAGTCTGGAATAATAACAAGAGACATTCACACCTGGGCTGGACTCTGTACTGAAAAAGTCCAGCAAGAATGAGTTCAGTAGCTACTCCAAAGAAAGGATTATTGAAAGGCCCCAAGTGAAGTAAAAGCACAGAGGGAAAAAATAAGCAAAACAGATGACAAGCGGGCAAGTATGTTTTGGAGCAAAGACAAAAAAAAAAAAAAGAAATCAATTATACAAGACAAGGGGGAAAAGTCAATTCAAATTGGGAAAAAGAAGATCAAAAAATTTAAGAAATGTAAAAGAAAAATTGAAATGTGAAAAGGCAAGAGCATTTGAAGGGAAAAAGGCTGGTCATTAAAGAAGCCGACTCATGGGCTTTTGTCTTCTACCTTGTACCCAGAGCTGGATTTGGACCCTACAGAACGTTTGGTGCTCTCCTTTTTGGGGGTTGATTTTTCTTTCGCTTTTGGCTTTGTCGGAAGAGTGTCCTCCTGAGCATTATGTGCATGTTCTCCATCAGACACGTTCCCAGATGAACTATCCTTAAAACACAAAAGAGCATATGAAAACAGTTAGCTAATCTGTATGCTGTTCAAACCAATTAGAGAACTATGAGGTGAGTGAAAATCACTCATCCTCATAGTTCGAGCCGAAGTGTGACAATGAAACTGTCACACGCCGGCTCAATAGATCGGCAAGTGAGCGAACGCATACCGTCGCTCGGTCACTTTGATTATCTCCCTGCAGAGAGCAGTTACCGTCAGTCACCGCTCCCTGCAGGGATTCCCCCCTCACCGCTCCGATCCTCCAGCGCTGACTGGAGGAATGGACGGGGAGGGGGCGGGTACAGCTGGCTCTGGCTCTAGATAGGCAGAGCCCGCTGTCACTCACACAGCTGGGTGGATCTCAACAGTAACGTTGGGATCCGTCCCGGCTGTGGCGGTCTCAGTATACCACGAGCGTTCGCTAGCGATATTCTGAGCTTTGGGTCACGGGAGGAGGTTACAATATGTCCTCCCGTGACCCTTAAGAGAACTATGGGGGAAACACTTACCCCCTAGTTCTCTTTTAAACCGATTCAATGTTTTTGAATTTGAGAAAACAGTGGTGCCATTTTCAGAAACCCTTGACAGAGTTCACCTCTGAAAGAATCATCAGGGTACAGATTGGTGCAAACACAAACAGAAGAACCCCCCTGCAGTCAGAAATGTAAACAAAATGAAAGCGTTCTCCACCACTTAGAAGGAATTTTCCTCACTGCCTGCATGTACTTCTTCACTTGAGAGGCGCCATCCCAGGATACACATGAAACAAAATTGTGTTTTTAGTAGGGATGCGCACCCATACCAGTTTTTCACTTCCCTTGCGACACTGCGAGGCAGCCTGGCGTCCTGAACAGTCAGTGCGCCGGGAGGTGAGTAATGACGTGCTGCCCAGATTCCCGATTGTCTAGGAAGCCGGCTTCACCTATTCTTAGGCAGCCTGGCTTCCTGACCAATCAGGAAGCCCGGAGGCGGGTCATGACGTGCCACCTGGCTTCCTGGTTGTCTAGGAAGCCGGTATCAATTATTGCTAGACAACCTGGCTTCCTGATCAATCAGGAAGCCGGGAAGCACGTCATGACCCTCCCGCCCGCCTTCCAGATTGATCAGGAAGCCAAGATGCCTAGCAATAAGTGAAGCCGGCTTCCTAAATAAATTATCATGACCTGCCTCACGGCTTCCTGATTGGCTAGGAAGCTAGCTTCACTTGTTGCTAGGCAGCCTGGCTTCCTGACCAATCAGGAAGCCGGAAGGCGGGTAATGACGTGCCGCCCAGGTTGCTGATGGTCTAGGAAGCAGACTCCATGCTCCCTCGTGCACTGTGTTCCGGTATCAGGGGTAAGTATCTGAGCATTTGGGCGAGTACGAGTACTCACCCAAATACTCAGTATCGGCACCGATACTAGTATCAGTATAGCCCTAGTTTTTAAGCCTGCTTTATTGAGGACAGTGCCCTCTATCATCTTCTGTACAATGTGTTGAGACCTTAGAATGTACACACTATAAAACTATTCTAATCATTAAATCTGCATTCTTGCACTTGGATACGGAGGGAGGACGGACTTACCGAGGAACCTTTGACTTTTTTCTTCTCAGTGCGTCCTTCATCAACCTCATCAGAATCACCATCACTGTCAAGCGCCAACACTTCAGGATCAAGAGGGTCTAGTGGAGGCTCATACAAAGCTGTGTTTAATGGCAAGTACCGAAGTTCATTGGGGGAATACCTGCAAAATAATAGAATTTGTGCATATAGTGTTTCACACAAGTTATTTGATAAGTTATAATGGAAAATACTTTCGGAATTTGCTCTACTCCTCACAGCAACCTTAGGTGCGCCAGTACCGTACGAACAGCATTAGCTCAGTTATAGACTGGACGGAAGTTTTAAAAATAAATCTGTTAATGTCTTCTAAAAAAACACTGAGGCTCCAACCTATAAAAATCCCCAAAGTGTGAATTACTACCTCTGACAGTTGTCCCTATTGAAAGCTTTTGCCCCTACTCTTGTTTAGGTGGCAATTTAAATTTTTTAAGATGCTGCTTAATTTCTGTTTTAAAGACAATGGTCACTAAGCATTAATTGATGCCGGCATCCTAGACAATCAGGAATAAATCGAAATACCCAATGGGTCCACACACAGCAATAATAATAACCCTTCCCACTGTATCCAAATCTAGAAAATAAAATTGAGCTGGAGTTCTACTTACTTTATGTAAAAGTAAACCTTAAAATGCAGCTTAAATCATGTGGAGAGTAGATAGGTGGTAGGAACTGGAGAGGGCTTTATTTCCTAAACCCATCAGAATGTTATTTGACTGCTCAAAACAGAGAGGAGCATGGTACGTAGGAGCAGGAGAAGGTGGACAGTCTCCCACCCCTTTCAGTACTACAGGTTACTTTACAGTATAGCCCTTCCTGCACTTTATCCTATTTTCACTACGCATGACTATTGAGAGGACTCATTGCTCACTGGGGTCAAGTCCCCTCCATGGTTGTCTACGTTTAGCTAGTTGGTTCACAATACAAGTTTTTTTTAGAAAAGCCAAACTCACAGTGGTGGCGTGTGTAGGAAATAACTGAATACGCTACAAACTGTTAGTCTTTATTATATATTATATTATTATTATTGTTAATATACATTATATTATTGTTCTGTAATGCGCAATGACGCCCACAGATTAGACTCAGCCGGCAAAAGGGAATATATATTCCTGCAGGTCTGGTTGTTTTTCCAACCAATTTCAGATATACTGTGATCGGTAAGGATATTTCAAATGGTATGTAAATGCATGGGGGATATGTGCACTGCTATTTTACTGGTTACCCTATATTGTCTTTAGAGTCCTTCTCTTATGCTGCCTCTGTATCTGTTATGTCTCTGCTATAATGCACTTGCGGTATACACGGTATACTGAGATGCCGCAGCTGAAACGGATCCCGACAAATTATGTCTGGATCCACCCAGCTGCATGAGTGACAGCTGGCTCTGCCTATCTAGAGGCAGAGCCAGCTGTACCCGCCCCCTCCCCCGTCCGCTCCGCCAGTCAGCGCTGGAGGATCGGACAGGGGAGGGGGGAATCCAGTTACTCCCCTGTCACGGATATCTGGCGCAGGTATGTGTTCGCTCACTTCCCGATCTACTGAGCCGACCTGTGACAGTTTCATTGTCACAGGTCGGCTAGAACTATGAGGATGAGTGAAAATCACTCACCTCATAGTTCTCCTTTAACGTAAATATGAGAAATGGACGAGCTGCTACTGCGGACCTATTAAAAGTATTTCAGCCACGCAGCTAGCATCTCTAAATCAACACCTTGCAGCAAACATGAAGATTAGAAAGTCAAAGTAAATGGAAACTGCATATTTCTTGTTCCAGGTCAGTGAGCCTGAATGCATTAAAGGGTACTAAATCAGCCTGACAGTCGGCAACAAGTATTTTCAGTAAAGGTCAAGAATGGCAGTCTCCATATTCCCTCAATAACGGTTTACTTTAATAGGGTTATTCACAAAAGGGTGAAGAGTTTGGAGAAGGCAGGAGAAGTGAACAATCTAGGCCTAAATACTGATTTGGAAGAATTCTCCAATTCAGCTCACTTTCCAGTTCAGCTATGTTGTCCTAGATTGTTCACTTCTCCTGCCTTCTCCAAACTCTTCACCCTTTAGTGAATAGCACTGTAAGTGTGGGCTAGAGCTGAATGGCCTTAGAATGGCCAAATAATAAAGTGTTGGAAAAAAGCAGGGGCAGGAACCTCAAAACTATTACAGTGTTTCGATTTTACTGCACCTTTCTCATATGTTAGTACCGTGTTTAGCAATTTGGTAGTGTTAATACAAATGCAATTATACTAAACATGGCATCTATAAAACAGGAAATACAGACCTTTTGTAATATTCTTGGAACTGTCCAGGTATGAGGGAAACCGGATAAGGACTGACTTTCGTGATTTCAGTAGGAAGGATTTTGTACTTTCCCTGAGGTACCTGTATGACCTATGAATTGGTTAACCACAAAAAAAAAAACACAACAACATTAAAATAGGTTGCCAGTGCCTTCAAAATAAACAATCAAAACATTACAAATAGCCAAGAATCCTCAGTACATATACATAAAATATTCAGCAAACTGTCATTTTGAAAAGTAATTGGATAAGGTAGTAGGCTGCCTTTTAGCTCTGGTTGATGGTATCTTTTGCAAATATTTGTGGCAATAGAATGAAAAAGTAGTCAGGCAACTAGCATTTTCCAGAGCTTAGCAACAGCCAGTGGCGAAGCTAGACATTCCGTCACCCGGGGCAAAGACTCAGTGTTTCCAATTAAGCAAAATCTCCAATTCCTCTTAGTGTGCATGCCCGACAGCATACCACTAAACCAGGAGGATTACTATACCATAGCATTACTATACCATATACTCCTGCTGGCAAATTCCCTTAAGTGGCGTAATTTGAGATTTCGATGAATTGCATGTGTACACGTGAAAAACCGCACTGAATTACGAACGCGCAGGTATGAAATGGAGCCTTATGTGTTCCTAAGTGCTCCTGCTGACCTCCATTTCAATACTTTTCCCTGTTGTGATGTAGGGTTGAAGGAATGTACCAGTGACCACGCAGAGGCGCGGGGGAACAACAGCCTCAGAAATGTCTGTTCCTGCAGAAGAGTTCAGAGTTGGATGCGTAAGCAGTGGGTGGGCATCTGTCAGAGTGCATGCGAGCTCTGTCAATATTACCTGCTGACAGCTCACCCTCAGGCCATGCCCGCTCCAGCTGCTCTCTGTCCAACACCGCTCCTGGACACCTCTTCCCCAGCGCCCTCAGGTGCAGAGCTGGCCTTGGCAGTGCCTGCAGAGCGGCGGAGGGAGCAGTGCCGCTTATAACATTAATAGTTTTCTCCCCTGGTTCCGCCACTTACCCTGCCAGGAGCGCCCCTCCTGGTGCGGCATCCGGGCACCCCCTAGTTTCGGCACTGGCAACAGCAGTCCCATATTTCTCTTAAGAAATGTTTCCTTTAATACCGAGAGATGCCAGAAAAAGGGGAGCAGCATTTAGAACGGATGATCTCTATACAAGTGTATATTTCCTGTACACCTGGAAACTAAACTAAAGCAGTGAGGAATCATAGAAAAAACAAAACAGTATGCTGTGTTTTATAGAGCGATAGAGTGGGTTTGTTAGCCAATGTTTTACATAAATGCAAAAGAGAGCAAACCTGGAAAACAATTGTTAAAGAAAATAAGGGGCTGCCATTGCAGATACCAGTTTGAAAATGATAGCTGCCCGGTTACTATGCATCAATACTTCCTGTAATGGACTGGAACCATTAAGCAGCAACTGAAAACAGAACTCCTGATCTGCATGCTTATTCCAGAACAGCATTATAAAAACAGCCATACATCTAGCATTTTTATAGGTAAGAAATGGTCATCTACATGTTCCTCCAAGTACAGGTTAATTTTAATGTGGTCGATCAAATGCTCTGTCTTACGTGAGTCTGCAAGTCAAAATACGCTCTTCTCTCTTCCATCCTTTCACGGTTTAAATTGCTGTTGAATTCAGCCGCTTTTTTGGCAGCTTTCTTGATGTACTCTGGAACTTTGCTTGCTTCCACTTTCTGTGTGTTTTGTTGCTGCTGTTGCTGTAAAAACAGAATATTCTAGTTAGAGATTACAGGCAAGTCATGTAGTCTAATATTAAAGAATATTTGACATTAAAACTGCGTTTACTTTCCCTGTTTGCTCCTGATCACATACGTCATTCTGATTATCTTCAGTAGTCATCTGTTGCAGAAAAATATTGGTATAAAAGCAGTTTGTGCTGTGGTTCTTAAAAAGCTACTTTATGTATTCTTCAAACCCAACACCACTATATTGAGCAACCGGAATAAAAAAATTAAAAAAAAATTTGTAAAATTGAATACAGCCGAACAGCATTTCTTGTACTGTAACATGTTTTACAGTAGAGGTCTGTAACCATATGACTATGGCAGACTGACTTAAAAGCTGCCTCAAGGAACTTTGTAATAGTTTGTAAAAGCAAAGTTATTTAGTTTTTTAACTAAAACCTATTAATGCTGTCTCAATTTCTGTAGTTTCAAGGGTTGCTGAATTTATATACATTGATGTCCTAAAGTAGACATCTGTTTAAAGGGTCACAGAACCAATAGTAGCCATGTTTTGTGTGTGCCTGCCCACCGATTGAACTATTATGACTGACACAGAAGCCAAGGTTCACGATATCTCTCTCTCTCTCTTTTTATGGGACTTTGAAGGTGTTGCAACCACATTCTGATTCTTTACCTGTAAAGATGTCACAACCACATTCTTTAAAGTCCCATAGAAAAAGTTTTTGGTTTTGGAAACTTGAATCTGATAGTTCTGCCACTGACTCCAATCTGTAGAGGGACTCTCAGCAATACACTCTATAGCAATGCAGAACAGCACCAGCTATAGAGGACTACAAATCCCAGCAATACAGAATAATGTCATCAGCTACAGACGACTACAAATCCCAGCAATACATTATACAGCAATGCAGAATAATAGTATTTTTTTTGCATTGCTGTATAATGTACTGCTGGGATTTTTATGCATAATATATTTATTACACACATAGATATGAAGAGTTTAATAGTTACCAAGACAAGATGCTGCTATATACAGGTATGTATGTATAGAAAATGTTCACAGAAAGGAGTGTTAGAGCTCTCTTTTTCTGACTTTCCTGGTTACAACAGCTTAGACAACTCCTGTATCAGGGCACAGGTAGAAGAATAGCATAAACACCAAACTTTTCGGTCTGTGCCAGTGGACAATGAGAGTCCTGAGGGCGGTTCAATCATGCGCGCACATCCAGCTTTTTCAGAAGTCTATGGCCAGTCTAACTACTAATGTGATGCTGCAGGCTAAGCAATTTGAGTGTCGTAGGTGCCAAGCGATAGCAGTATAGGCCAATATAACTACCCTTCTTGTGACAACCTGTGGGTTGAGTTTCATTGGGTCAGAACTTATCCCAAAAGGACTTGTACATATGTAGCAGAAGAGGTTTGTCAACAAGGCACCACTTAGTTTCTACAGCTATCACAGTAAGGAATTGACTCACAATTGGCACAGAAAGAAAACAAAAAAGAAACAAAACACGGACAAAAACCAAACACAGGATTCAGGGAATTTGGCTATGTGCTGTATATTTAACAAGAAGTATACAGTAGTTAAAAAGGACAACTATTCTTTTAACATAATATCACTCCTAACGCTGTCTTTTCATGCATTCTTTTTTTTTTTCCTTGTACCTGTTAAATATGCTAAAGAAACTGTATATAGACAGTTGCAAATTATGTCTCCCACAGGAAAGTGCATTAGCATTTTTAATATAAGCAGGGACAACAGCAGAACATTTTTAGAACAGCCCCAGGATTACCCCTCCTCTACCTATCCCCCTTCTTATAGCAAGTGGTACCAAGAGTATAAACAAACAGAGTGGTGGGATCTATGTCCCTCAATGGACTCCAAGAAAAGGATTTTGCAGCAAGTACTGAGGGCCACAGGAATTAAGATACTGTCAGGACATCTAAAACAAAGCGACAACTACTTACAGGCCAGAAGAAGGGAACTAGGGATTGCCTGCGGCCCAGGAGCCACCTAAAGGACCAACACCCGAATCTGAACCAACAAGCTTACCAGATAGGAGAAGCTACCAACACGAACAGGGGGAGGGCACATAGAATAAACATGATGGTAAGTAGAAAGGTCACCCACCATGAAGAGACCACTCCATTAAAAAAATTCCATAAAAGGAAAAAAAGACCCACAACCTGATGTGGTCTACAAAGAATGGAAAGAACCCCTAGAAGGAACCGGTCCCAAGATAGAACCTAGGAGAAAACAGGTCCAGGTGAGAAAGAATAGCCAATCTACATGGAGAGAGAGAGAGATACAGAGCTTTTACACCACTGACACTCTAGGATCACAGAGAAGAAACTCCATAGCTAAAGAGGTTGTACGGCCAGAAGACCAATCTCGCTAGGTGAGACTTAACAGGAAAAACCTTGTATCAGCAAACAGACGATAGCTTAGAAGGTGTATGAAGTTACTCATGAGTTTGCCAGAGAACTCAGAGATTTCATCCCACAAAGTAACTGCAACTGAAGGGGTAAGGTGTAAGAGAGGCACCCTCACAAGGGCAGACAGGAAAAAGGAAGCAAGACCTTAGCTCCAGAATGGTGAGATCAGATCAGGAAGAACTGAAGATGAAACCAATAACATCCTCCCTGGCAAACATGAGGTGCCACTGGCACACCAGAAGCATCCTGCAGAAGAACTGCTCTGCCTATCCCTGACCTCAAGCTATTGATCTAAGAAACCTCCTAATCCCCCAGGTCCATCGAAGCACCAAATGCCGTGAAGCAAAGGACGGGAATCTTAGCATTACCACTAAACGGGTGTGGCTGACTAAGGGCAGAACAGGGAAATGCATCCAAAGAACTTTTTTTTTTTAAGGGCTGCAGATCAACCAAAGAAGGATTATAGGTGGACAGGCCCTACAAAGTCATTAAGACAAGCTTCTATCAGAGAAAACAAATGTGTTTCATCAGCTGACCATCCAGGGAGGAAAAGAGCCCTCCAACGCCGATCTCTACCTGCCATGCAGGATCTGAGGCAAATCAAGGTATGCGAACTTCTCCATGTCCATAGACTACCAAATGATAGGGACGAGTTCCCAAGGGACTGTCCACAAGGGAATCAGTATCAGCAAGGCTAAGACTTGTGACATTAACCAGCACAGAAAACAAAAAACCCCAAAAACAACTAACTACTGTCGAAGGAAGGATTCCGACTCGTTCTCAGTTGTGAAGGCATAACAGCAACTAGATGGTGTCCAACAGAGTCAAAACCAGGAGAACTGCACAAGGCAGGATCCCCCACTGTAGAAGGAACCTGTTCTGAAAGGCCAAACAATAGCCCTGGGGATAATGGTTCTCTAATGAGCAAAGCCATTCAAATATAGGGAGAAGAATCCAAATCAGATGCCTGGAGAAGCTGACGGATTACACCATAACTACCAGGCGCATAGAGACAGATATGTTAAACTTCCCAGAAACTAGACCCTTACCTATAGGGAGGGGCGCTGAAATATAATCGAGAAAAAAAAAAAAAGAGGGAGAAGACTCCGAGAGGAGGTTCCCCAAATTATCCTGAAAGGGAAGGAAAGAGTTTAACTCCCTGTCTGATGAAGAAGAGTCTAACAGTACATAGGCTGTGGACCTTAGCAGCCAGGAGCTAAGTTGGTTGACCTCGCCAACAGGTGACAGACCATTTCCAGCACTGAAACCTAATTAATTCAGATTCAGGCAGATCTTGCATGTGTTATGCCCTTTAAGATACTGACTGCCAGAATACACAAAGCTCTCTTCACATGAGGTCATGGAGCATCCCACAATGGAGATTCCAGGAAAATGCACTAGTCTCAACACACGAGTCAAGGCAATGAGAAGTACCAGGTGTGTATGGGCAACACTGGGGATCAAAGCCCTTATCTAGTTAGAAAACAGTAAAAGCTGACCCTGGTTGACCTAGTAGGTCAATGAGTCCCTTTAGAAAGGAGGGATGCTGAGGCTTACCATTTTCCATTAAGGGCCTTTCATGTCCTGAGAACAGGGGGTCTCGTTGAGGGATAGAATGGTGGCCCAGATACTGTAGGCGGCAGTATAACTCAACTGTATTTGAGTCCTGACCACCAAAAGTTCCCTTCATTTTGCCAGTTCAAATTTAGCATTCATCACTACTCTATTACGTCCCATATATCACCGGAATACCAAGTGGTGGCAAAAGGGAAAGCTTTCCGTTCAGGTAGCACTGGTGCAATAATTACAACTTTACTTAATTGCCACCCATCAAGAATGCCTCACTGAATCCAGTTAATGCCTGGCCAATGTCTATGGACCACACCTTAATGAATGAGTATCCTAAAGGTGCCCATACACTGCACGATTATCGTACGATAATCGTATGCGATCGGTTTTTCGTACGATAATCGAGCAGTGTGAACGGAGACGTGCGACCCTTTCTACTGTACGGTCGCACGTCTTCTGTCGAACCAGCATGTTCGAAAACCAGCCGGGAATCGTACGATTCTCGGCTGGTTAGAACGGTGCTCGGAAGATAAATGCTGAACGGGCCGGTGTGCGCACGGGCACACTGCCCGTTCAGCATTGCGGTCATCGGAAGCCCGCCCCTCAGGGGGGTGGGCTTGCGATGATCGAGAGTGCGATCTGCCTGTCCAAGATAGGCAGAGCGTACGTTTTTTTAATCCCTTTACAACCATCGCAAGACTAAAGTCTTACGATGGTTGTAGAGTGTATGGCCACCTTTAAGCAGGGCTCAAAATTTCCACTCGCCCCCTCGCAATTGGCGAGTGAAAATTGCCGGCAGGGCGAGGGGGGAAACTGCCGCCGCTTCAGCAGCGGCGATCACCTCTTCGGTTCTCCCCATTTCTCTTCTCATCTTCGTGCACTCTATAGCTGCAGCGGCCGAAGAGGAGAAGAGAAGGGAGAATCAGTTCAGCTGGCTGTCCGTCACCTGCAGTCTTCCTCCACAGGCAGGGAGGAAGACTGCAGAGCTCCAATTGGCTGGCCGGCAGGACAGCGCGGGACCTGAAGGGAGGCTTCAAGTGGGACATGGAGGACACATCGCTGTACCCCTTCCACCCCCCCCCCGCCCCCCACCCCAACCAGGAAAAAAAGAGGGCACCTGAATCAGGTCAGCCATGTGCACTGTAAGTCCCTGTTATTTCTGCCTTTTTTTCCTGCACTATGCGTTATTTCTGCCTTAAAGCGCTGACCTCTGCACTGTGCGTTATTTCTTCCTTAAAGCGCTGACCTCTGCACTGTGCCTTATTGCTGACCTCTGTACTGTGCGTTATTTCTGCCTTACACCACACATGACAAAACAGGATGAAACCTGTTAAAGTAGATACTAAGTGGCATTCAAACAGGAGGACAGCCAAAAGAAAACCAAAACCTTTAAATGTTTAATTGGAAGTGAAAAATATAGTATCCAAAGCTAGAATCTCTTACCCAACTGTATTAACAGATCTGTGTTTTGCTATACTGGTTTGAGCTCAGTCAATTCTTAAAGCCCGACTCCAGTCAAAAAGCATTTTTTTGGTGTTTATTGCATCTCTTTTATTGAGAAGCTTTCACCTCACGTCCTGTCCTGGTGACCACAAGGGAAGATCTTCCCACTGGGGACAGATATCAATACAAGCATGATGGAACTTCTCACTTTTCCCTACTCTACTCTAACATCCATCATGCAATCATTTGTAAATATTGTTTTGTAAGAACCACATGCACCGAGTATTGTTTTAACTGCACAAACATATTACTTACCGAGTACTCTTTGTAATGGTCTGTAATCCGCTGGCGTTCCTTTTCTTGAAGAATGACCGAGTACTCTGCATGCTTGGCTGGGTATTCCTTCATCATAAGGTCAATTACTTCATCACTTCGTAAAGCTGTCAGACCTTTAAAGGGCAAGGGGAGAGGAGTCTAATGTTCTAATAGTCTAGCCAGCAAGAACACAATACCAGACTTTAGTATTTTAAGAGTGGGAGGCAGGATCTATCGAATTTGTCTAAGGTCCTTTAAAGTAAACTGTACTTTACCCAAGCACAGCAAATAACAGGTTCACTTTAAAGCCAGCCCCTGCAGCATATTATACACGACTCCCCTTTGCTCCCCTGCTGCTCCATTTGTCACTAGCAGGAAGGAGAAAAAGCCCTCTGTAAAATAATCTCAATTCGAGCTTACAAAAAGCTAGGGAGTATCTCCTTTTCCTCATGTGACAGCACGGATGCTTGAGTAGCCAATTGACAAGCAGTGCCGTCATATGGAAGAAAGGGCAGCGAGTCACATATTCCACTAAACCTGGTATTTCTATTCACTACCAGCATTGAGCAGATCAGTGAGGTAGGAAATGGAAGGTATGTACAAAAATAGAAAAAAAGAGCTTCTAAGGCACCAAATCACAAATTTGATAGGTTTAAATAATTTTATTGCAAAGTTAAAAAAATTAAGATTTGCCCACTGCTGCTCTGGCACGGTGGGCAGTTGTGGATGAACGAAAATGTAATGTAAAAGATTGGAGGAAAGCAAGAGCAGATTTAGTATTTCTTTTTTTCCCCATCTCATTTACACAAATAAGGAGTTTGGTCTCCCTATTACGATATCCTCTCTGCCCTTTTCGGGTAATAACATTGGAGATTAGGTCTGGATAGACTTTTTTGATCTATAGGGCACTTTCCGTTCACTCACATAACCCCTTATGGGCTACGGATGTGATGCTGGTCTGGAGTTGCTTGGAGGCTTGGCTCATCTATTCGTTGTGTCTTGAGAAAGATCGTGTCGAAGATCTGGGTGACCCCCAATTGGAGGAATCACTATCTTTGAGGGTGTAGACTGCATGACAATTTAGGATGGTGATATATGACTTTTTCCTCTCTTTTGGGGGACCTGGTAGCTGATCTACAGCATGTTAGAGGTTAATTCTTATGGATCACAAGCAATTGAAACAGACATTTTTGTAAAAGCTTTCAATGTTTTTTAACTTGGAATAGAATTATTTAAACCTATCAAATGTGTGATTTGGTGCTCTAAAAACCCTTTTTTCGATTTTTGTACATGCTTACGATTTTGGGGTGTGGCACCATTGGACAGAGGTATCACCAATGCACTGTAATAAAGGAAATGAAAGGTGAGGAAAAGGGGAATGGGGCGGGGGAGGCATTAAAGTAAACCTGTTGCTTTGTGCTGAACAAGCATAGAAAAAAAAGGTACAATCTTTAAACAACCCAACTTGTTACAGTAACTTGGTAAAGAAGAACAACAGTCTAAACATTCGACTTTAAGCCTGTATTGGCAGAGCTGTTTAGTTTTAAAATATAACCCATTATTAATTTTACCTTTCTTAAGTTGGGAAGCGAATTTCTTAATTTTCCCACGTATCAAATAATAACAACAACTAGAGGTGCACCTATATTTCCCTTTTAAAATAGAAAAAGAGATTGAGGACACAGAGTCCTCAATCTCTTTTGCTGTGTCCTCTGTTATCAGAGAGCAGGAATCCTCTATGAGGACATGGTATGTTTACTATAACCACAATCATGAATGAACAGGAGGTGATGTAGATCACTCCCATTCATTTATAATTGAGGCTATAGTACACATACCATATCCTCAATTATGTACAAACACTCAGCGATCACTGATCGCTGAGTGTTTGTACCTTGCTCTCCTCTCTGACACGCTGTCACAGGAGGCTGAACGAGTGGTGCAGGGAGGAGAGCTCAGCCTCCTGTGACAGTGCTGTGGGAGAAAACAAAAAAGAGAAGGGCGCCCACCCTAGTGTAGATTCTTGATTCACAAAAGTGAATCAAGACAGAAGTGTATAAGGTAAGCCAGAATGACATCTGCAACAAGCTGCACAGAAGATTGTGTGACAGCACAGGACTCCTTACGATGACGCGTTTCCGTGGCCACGCCCCCTTCGTCAGATCTGTCACACAATCTTCTGTGCAGCTTGTTGCAGATGTCATTCTGGCTTACCTTATACATTTCTGTCTTGATTCACTTTTGTGAGTATGTTTTTATTGTTACCTCAATATACATTAAAAAGAATCTACACTAGGATGGGCGCCCTTCTCTCTGTTTTCTCCCACAGTATTGCAGCTTCCAAGGCTGAAGTGGGGCAGCACCCCTAGTAATCCTCACCCGCAACTATCCTTCATTTGTTGGTCAACGTTTGGCGCTTCTGATTCATTTTTTATTGGTTCCTGTGACAGTGTGGCCTGTCTCCGCCCACACACCGCTCTGTCGGACTGTGATAGGAGGCTGAGCAGTGTGGGAGGAGACGCCGGCAGCTCACATCGCTCTCCTCCCGCAACGCTCGGCTGGCTATCACAGTTTCTCTCCTCCCCGCTGGGACACAGAGCAGCGCACAGCGAGGAGGAAAGAAAAAACGGATGCGCCGCTGTATCGGCAGGAAATGGCACTTTCGGCATTATGCCAAAAGTGCAATTTTTGCCCGATATGTTTCAGCAGCCGATATATATCAGTGCATCCCTAATAACCATAATAATGATTTAGTGATAGGCATGCTATTGTCTGTGCCCAGCCTACCACTGACAGCCATGTCAAACTCAAAAGGAAAATTGGCTGCACACAGCTCTCAATTTTTCTTGCATTAGTCCACATGTCTTCATACCAGTATTTTGTAAAAATAAATGTTTTTGGTGGAAATGAGTGCATAGCTGTGTTCTTCTTTAACCCCTTCATGACTGAGCTAGTTTTCAGTGCATTCGAATAAATGCACAGCATAAGACAGCTCAGGTAGGATTTAGAAGTAAGCTTTAAAGTGTATGTTTCAGACAAAGTACACTTACCCAAACTGTTTAGTCCTCCTGGTATGAACTCCCCAATAACCCCACCCCAAGGAAAACCGTGGCCTGTTTGGATGTTTAGATCCTATGGATCTAATCTTCCACATGGCTAGCTCAACCTATGCAGTAAGTCTCCACCTGGAATTATATAGGGTCATCCCGATACTGGAGATGCTCAGTAGATGACCCTATAGAAATCTGCAAGGGCTCACTATCAAGTAGGGCTAGTCGTAAAGAGCTTTTCCTTGGAGAAAATAAACAATGGCACAGGCAATACCTGTCCTATGTAGGTAAGGGGGGTGTCGGGTAGTTTAGGTCGGAAGGGCTGTGAAGCATGGGCAGTGTACATGGTCAGAAACTACACTTACCTTTTAAAAAAGCCACATAAAAGCTGTTTATTAAGTGGCAACTAAAGCTATTGCCGACAGTCAACACAAAGTCACTTTTTATAAATGCTGGCCTTTTCATTTTTCAGATTCTTTCTATAGTGAACAAAGATGGCCTTTGGCCATCCTGTATGTTGGTGTATTTCCAGTTGTGTTCTATAAAGGCAATCTCAAATAAACCAACATGCAGGAGAAGTAATGGTCATCTTCAAACAATTACATTTCAGAGAAAATGTCATTAAAAAACAAAACAAAACACTAATTTTTATGGCTTAACTAACCTCTATTCTTTACTCACAACTAACTATTCACAGTTGAGCTTAGGACTATTGTATCTATATAGTTACCTAAAGTACACTGAGTTTCCGTAATGACATTTAGCTCTCGCAGATACAACTTCTCCTTGTGCGTCAGATCTCTTCGTTCTAAATCTGTCAAGAGAAGGAAGTGTTCTTGTAAAAAAAAAAAAAGCAGTTCCAGGCAACAAATACAAGGATACGAATGACATCCAACAAACACAGCAACTGTGCTACAGTCAGTGTTCACTCTACTTACCTTTTGGCCTCATTTACACTATTCATTGCATTAACGTACGTGTGTTTTTACAACATGTTACCACACATTGAGGCTTGCTATGTGAAGTTTAGCGACTCACCTTATCGCATGGGAAATTGGACATGCACTTTTTTTTTTTTTTTTTTAAACGCGCAGCATTCTGCCTCCCCATCTGAGTGCTGGGAGGAGAAATACTAGAGGGCAAAATCAAGACGGAATGTCCAAGTAAATGTGGTGTAAATAAGGTAATTTTACAACTGTGTGGGTAGAAGCAACACATGACCTCCAACCAAAACTGAAAGAGGTTACCTCACAAAAACTTTGGTTCAGAATAGGTCAATATACGCTTTGCTGCCCTGGTTTCCATATCTGCATTACACAGAGTTTGTAAAGACAACCTCAACCATGCAATAGGTTTTGCCAAACTTCCATGAGTTTCTCATGCAAGGAGGAAAAGGAACTTGAATAGTGCAAATAATATCCAAAAATGTATTAAAAACCATAGAGTCACTTGCCCTATTCCAGGTCCAGCGTTCTGAGGAGTCACCACCTTCAGTATTGGGTGAAGATTAGTTGTTACTTCTACCTACACGGTGGTGAAATGCTCTCTACTGAATTGCAGTATCTTCTTGGAATTTCTGTTATATGGACTACACGAGGTCTCTTGGTGCACTGCAATTTATCTCTTTGGATTTATATTAGCCCAGACTTTTTACATATCATTTATTTTGAACTTGATATCAAGACAGATTTTGGTATCTATACTAGTTAAGTTTAAAGATAAAGCAGAACTCCAACAGATATCAAAGTTAAGGCAACACTAAACTTAAGACGTTAAATCTTAAAAATGCATTAAAGTACCTTAACTATTAACAATAGTGGACCCTCTTTGTGTATCACTCAGCTGTAGATCTCAAGTCATCTCTGAATTGGTGCTGACACTGTCCTTCCTTCTGGAGGGTGTCTACTTTTGTTCCCCATGGTCCCTGTGTGTGTTGTAGTCACCGCTCCAAGCTCGCTCTTTGATGGACTACAATCTCACGTATAGTTTACTAATTTGTATTGAGATTGTAGTCCATTACGAGAGCGAGCATGGAGCGGTGACTACAACACACACAGGGACCATGGGGAACAAAAGTGGCCACCCTCCAGAAGGAAGGACAGTGTCAGCAGCAATTCAGAGATGATTGAGGATCTACAGCTGAGTGATGAACAAGTAAGATACCATTTTGTAAATACTTTAAAAAAGGTACTTGAATGTATTTTTAAGATTCAACTCCTGAGTGTCACTTTAAAGGAGAACTATGAGGTGAGTGAAAACCACTCAGCAACATAATTCTAGCCGACCTGTGACAATGAAAGTGTCACAGGTCGGCTCAGTAGATCGGGAAGTGAGCGAACACATAGCGTCGCTCGCTCACTTCTCGATCTATCCCTGCAGAGAGAAGTGACTGTCATTCACGGCTCCCTGCAGGGATTTCCCCCCTCCCCTGTCCGATCCTCCAGCACCGAATTGGCGGAACAGATGAGGGAGGGGGCGGGAACAGCTGGCTCTGCCTCTACATGGCAGAGCCAGCTGTCAATCCCGCAGCTGGGTGGCCGTCCCGGCTGTGGCGTCTCGTTATTACGCGAGCTATAGCTCGCGGCATACTGAGCTTTGGGTGACGGGAGGACGCTAGTTTGTGTCCTCCCGTGACCCTTAGGAGAACTATGGGGAAAAGCCTTAACCCCATAGTTCTCCTTTAACACACATTGATAATATTTACATCAAGCTTTTCTACATGTACCTATTTGAAAACATTGAAATTATTAATTTAAAACACTGAAAACCTATACCTCCTCATGAAACAATACTTTCTTTACACGGAATCACATTTCATTATTACCTGGGTATTTGCGTTTAAAGGAAGTGATACCCAGATATTCACTGACTTGCTCTTGTAACATATAGTACTCCCCTGTTTCATCTGATGGCCATTTGTATTCAACTAGATTTTCGGCTGGAAAATAGCTGGAGCTGGTGGGAAAAAAAACAAAACAAAAACATTTATATGCACAATATTTTAAGTAAAATATTCAACCAATGAACGTATTCACAAACCGATATTAAAAGAACTCTGGGCAAAACTTTTACTAACTCTTGAAGTGGGGCTAATCCTCTACTGCAAGCGTTAACTGCTTGTTTTGTCTAGGTGCTTAAAAAAAAAAAAAAAGATATACTTGCCCGAACAGGCTTCCTGCATCTCCAGTCTCTAAAGCCCGTCTCCTCCTCTGCTGCAGTACTGGAATGTTCCTCAGCGTATTCACGGATATAGTGTACATAATGTAATTCATGGGACACTAGACTGCTGCAGAGGAAGGGAGGACTGGTCTAAGAGCAAGTCGGCTCCACAGTTCACGGAAGTATAACTTTTTTTTTTCCCCTAGACAAAAATAAGCAGTTAACCCTTGCAGTGCAGGGGTAGCTTAGATTATCCAACGATCAGCCATAACATTATGACCACCGAGAGGTAGGCAAGCCGGCGGAGGCAGTGTGATACTTGGGGCAATACTCTGCTGGGAAACCTTGGGTCCTGCCATTTATATGGATGTTAGTTTGACAAGTACCAAAACATTGTGGCTGACCAAGTACACCCCTTCATGGAAACATTATTCCTAATTGGCAGTGACCTCTCTCAGCAGCAAAAATGGTTCAAGAATGGTTTGAGGAACACGAGTTTGAGTTGGTTGACTTGGCCTGCAAATTCTCCAGATCTCAATCCAATTGAGCATCTGTACGATGTGCTGGAAAAAAGTCCAATCCACGGAAGCCCCACCTCACAACTTACAGGATCTGCAACTGATGGCTTGGTGCCAGGCACCACAGCATAGCTTCAGAGGTCCAGTGGAGTCCATGCCTCAATGGGTTAGGGCTGTTTGGCAGCAAAAGTAGGACCTACTCAATGTTAGGCAGGTGGCCATAATGTTATGGCTGATTGTGTATATCCCTAAAGGTGGCCATACACTCTACAACCATCGCAAGACTTTAGTCTTGCGATGGTTGTAAAGGGATTAAAAAAACGTACGATCTGCCTATCTTGGACAGGCAGATCGCACTCTCGATCATCGCAAGCCCGCCCTCCTGAGGGGCGGGCTTCCGATGACCGCAATGCTGAACGGGCAGTGTGCGCGTGCGCACACCGGCCCGTTCAGCATTTATCTTCCGAGCACCGTTCTAACCAGCCGAAAATCGTACGATTCCCGGCTGGTTTTCGAACATGCTGGTTCGACAGAAGACGTGCGACCGTACAGTAGAAACGGTCGCACGTCTCGATTATCGTACGAAAACCCGATCGCATACGATTATCGTACGATAATCGTGCAGTGTATGGGCACCTTAACTCCCAGCTTCAGGCAGCGTTCTGTGAATGACAATATGTAGAGGGGGCGAGGACATGATACCAGTGGCAGTGATGTCAGCAGCGAGCAGGCCTACCCAAGAGAACCAAGATATCATTTTCAAAAAAGAAGCTGAGGTAAAGATCTCCTATCAAGCCGGGAGTTGGGCTTTAGGCATAAGCCAACCAATTTTGTCGGATCTAAAACATTACATTTTTTTTTTTTTGAAGGGTGAATTTTGCTGCTTAAAGGAGAACTATGACATGAGTGCTTTTCACTCACCTCATAGTTCTAGCCGACCTGTGACAATGAGACTGTCACAGGTCGGCTCAGTAGATCGGGAGGTGAGCGTACACATACCGGCGTTCGCTCACCTCTCGATACTGTCACGGCTCTCTGCCGTGACAGGGGAGGGCGGGTACATCTTTAGATAGGCAGAGCCAGCTGTCAGTCACGCAGCTGGGCGGATCCCGGCACAATTGTCGGGATCCGCTTCAGCTGCGGCGTCTCAGTATACCGCGAGCTACAGCTCGTGGTATACTGAGCCTAGGGTGACGGGAGGACGCTAGTTTGTGTCCTCCCATTACCCTAAGGAGAACTATGGGGAAAAGCCCTAACCCCATAGTTCTCCTTTAACTGAATATTTGAATTTCTTCCCAGCAAACTAAAAAAAAAAAACGGCATCTGTGTGCTTACAAATTTAAGGAATGTTTCTCCATTGAAGGTTGTGTGCTTTCATTCTAAAAGAATAGAGACAACATAGTGGGAACTTTAATATGATATAATCTTGAGTGCGAATGTATTTAGGGCTCACGAACAGTATCAGGACTCTCCCCCCGGTTATGCCCCTCTCTGTCTCACTCCTTCTGGTGTGTTTTCCATTATGAAAAATAAAGTGGGAAAAAAAAAAATGGTGAAGCCCTCGAGGAATGGTAGCACCCTTCACCAGTGCCAGGGGACAGACTAGGCAAGATGGGATATGGACAATGCAAAAGGTAACAGATTTGTAAGCATGCATTCACAATGTTTTAACTTGCAATTCAAGAGTGTTTGAATAAAAAAGCAGGTGTAGAAATGGAAGAGAGCCCTCCGCACACCTTACAGCAGTCCCGGCCAATTTAGGATGATGGTGCTCGAAGTGACCAAATCACGGATGGCACAGTGCAAACACAAAGCAAAAAGGTAAAAAGTCACCAGCACTCGATTTTTTGAAACTAAATATGTCCCTTTATTGGACAAAAGACGTCATAGGGGAGCCTTATGACGTCTTTTGTCCAATAAAGGGATAAAAAAAAAAAAATCAAATAGATTGTGTATGCATTTCTGCCGGGAAAAAAACTTCCTACCCTTTTATCTAGCAAATGTTTTGCTTACACTGCCTGCGTTGCATGTACAATGCTGCTAACACTCAATGTAGCAAGCAGTCTACTGTGCTCCAGCAAGTATAAGCAGGAGAGACATCATCACTGGGTGTTAAAAAATAAAAAAAAGATGAAGTCCAGGACATGATGGCAGCTGTGGTATAAAGAATGCAGACCTGTCAGCACTCAAAGATGGTGAACTAAAATTGGTGAAAAGCTGCTTGAATTGGACAAATACCACCAAAGGAAAGTTCTATCTATCTCAAATATAAAACTCATTTGGGTACAGTGTTGCATGGCCGAGTAATTGTCAGTCAAACAATCACAGCACTGAAACCTGGCTTGAAAAAACTTTTTTTCAACTTTGTCAAAAAAGCCGGGTGGTAAAATGTCAGTTGAACAGTGATTATAGCCAATCAAATGAACTCACGGTTTGGGTATTCCGAGGTGCCGCCAGCTGCTGAATACAATAGCCAGCAGGGCAGATTCCTACATCCACCCTGTTTGATGTGGAGTGGGGCATCGACTGATCTCTGAAATCTACAGGTGTAAGGCTAGCTTAAGAAGTACACTGTGTAGAAGATGCAAGTATGCATATTATGGCTTGTCCTGTCCTGTTCAATGTTATTAGATGCATTAGGTGATATGGACAATTAACTTACCCAAAATCTTGATTTGAATTTTCACAACTTGGGGAAAATTCGCCAGATGCTGCCCTCCTCCTTTTTATTGGCTGACTCCCATCATTAGACGTTTCCTCTGCATCTCTGGCATCGTTTGAATTCTCTTCCTTAAGTACGAAACAACAAAAATGATAGGATCAAATATTACCACATAAAATAAACTGTATGCATTGCAGGAACACTGCTGATCACAGACAGTAACTCTGTCTTTTAAACGCATTACAAATACAGTAAGGGCCTATATAGATCTGTGAGTGGCCTTCAAAATACATTGCGTTGTTTATTTGGGCTGCATAATGCAACAAAACACACACACACACACACACAAAAAGGATACATGCATTCATTTTAATGCAGTGCAACACAACACAGTAATGCAGCAGAATGAATGGCTCCGCACCAACGTGCATAATGTGCATTGCTGCAACCCAATAGTGTGTATCCAGCCTAAGAAACTGCATTCTCTGTATAGAGCTAAAGACCCCGATGGTGATATAGAATAATCATCCCAATAATGTATGCTGGATACTCTGCAGAGGGAAAGAACTGTCTTCTGTTTAATACCTAAGAATAAAGATGAAGTAGAGGAGAAAATCACCAGCACTCAGCGATATAATTCAATGTGTCCATTTATTGGACAAAGACGTCACAATAACAAGAGCCAACGTTTCGAGACCGCACAGGGTCCCTTCCTCAGGGCAGAAAGACGTGAGACGTTATTGTGACGTCTTTGTCCAATAAATGAACATATTGAATGATATCGCTGAGTGCTGGTGATTTTCTCCTCTACTTTGTGTCTGCACGGCGCCATCCGTGGTTATCACTGCGAGCACCATCTTCTATAAAGGCCTGGAGTGCTGTAAGCTGTGCAGAGGGCTCCCCTATCTATCCACTTGAATAAAGATGAAGCACGCAGGAATTGTGTCATATTAACTGTTCTTCTACCTGCGGACATCTTGGAACGGCAGACTGTTATTTCCCCACCATGGATTAAAAAAGGTCAATGGTAAAAAGGTCTGTCGGCGGCCGCTCACGCTGCCCACTGTGTACTGATATATGATTAGATCAGTTCAGTACCTTGTGATCGATGTGACGACCAATCACATGGTAGCGTTTACATCCCGCTCCCCTTCCTCTTACAACAGAGGAAGGATAGTCATTTATGAATTAGTAATCAATGCGTGGGGCAGCAGCAGAATCTGGTCCATTTGTTCATTTCCACTGACTGGGCTCTTTTTCATCCCCCCCTTACATATCAGATCTCCAGACTGTCTGTATGTGACCTGTATATTAACCCTTCACCTCCACATACTGTATGTACATTGACCCCTTCATCTCCCTATATGTGACCTGTTCGTTATTCCCTTAACCTCCTTCTCCCTCTGTGTATGACCTATACATCTAACGTATCTAGTTCACCAGTAGCCAACCTGCATCTTTTAACCTCCTCAATACCGCAATGTTTCTTAAAGAACTCCGGGCAACATTTTTCTTAACCCTTGCAGTGGGGCTACTCCTGCACTGCAAGGGTTAAGTGCTCATTTTGGTCTAGGGAGTAAATAACAATGTTATACTCACCCAAACCGCGGAGCTGGCCGGCTTGTCACCTCCTCTGATGCAGTGACGGTATGTCCTCGACTTCCTCATCTCCTACACACTGTGTATTAGACGTGATGACTCGAGGATCCTTAGATCACTGCAGTGGAGGGGGAAGAGAGGCTGGAAAGACTGCTTGCATTGCAAATTGACTCAGAGGAACAGGTATGTATAACTTTGTTAATTTTACACCAAGATGAATACGAACACTTAAAGAACTATGAGGTGAGTGATTTCCACTCATCCTCATAGTTAGAGCCGACCTGTGACAAACAAGCTGTCACAGGTCGGCTCTATCGATTGGGAAGTGAGCAGACACATGCCGCTGATCCGCTCACTTCCTGATTGGCTCCCTGCAGTGATCCCCCTGTCCCCTCTCCGAGAGAGCCGTGACAGGATCGAGAGGCGAGCGAACCCGGTATGTGTTCGCTCACCTCCCGATCTACTGAGCCGACCTGTGACAGTCTCATTGTCACAGGTCGGCTAGAACTATGAGGTGAGGGAAAAGCACTCACCTCATAGTTCTCCTTTAAAGGCTCAGTAGATCGGGAGGTGAGCAAACACATACAGGGTTCGCTCGCCTCTCGATCCTGTCACGGCTCTCTGCAGAGCCAGCTGTCACTCACGCAGCTGGGCGGATCCCGTCAACTAAGTCGGGATCTGCTCCGGCGCCGGTGTCTCAGTATACCGCGAGCTGTAGCTCGCGGTATACTGAGCTTAGGGTAACGGGAGGACGCTAGTTTGTGTCCTCCCGTTACCCTAAGGAGAACTATGGGGAAAAACACTGACCCCATAGTTCTCCTTTAATTTCCAAAGAATTGTGGGGGAAAAAAACGAGATCACCTTGGGGTATCTTCTTGGTCATATTGAGGGTGTTCATACTGTCCTGGCATTTTTATTTGACATGTTTTGTAATAGAAAATAAGGTAAACTTTTTTTCCCCCCCCTAAATGTGTGGTCTTTTTTTATTGCATAGTAAAAAATAAAAAATAACCCAGTGGTTATTAAAAGGAGAACTACGGGGTCAGTGCTTTTCCCCATAGCTCTCCTAAGGGTCACGGAAGAACACAAACTGGTGTCCTCCCGTGACCCAAAGCTCAGTATACCGCGAGCTACCGTAATACTGAGACGCCGCAGCCGGGACAGATCCCGACAATGCTGTCTGGATCCACCCAGCTGCGTGAGTGACAGCTGGCTCTGCCTATCCAGAGACATAGCCAGCTGTGCCCGCCCCCTCCCCCATCCATTTCACCAGTCAGTGCTGGAGGATCGGACAGGGGAGGGGGGGGGAATCCCTGCAGGGAGCCGCGACAGTCACGGCTCTCTGCAGGGATAGATCGAGAAGTGAGCGAGCGACGGTATGTGTTCGCTCACTTCCCGATCTAATGAGCCGACCTGTGACAGTTTCATTGTCATAGGTCGGCTCAGATTATGAGGCCGAGTGAAAATCACTCGCCTCATAAATTCTCCTTCAAATACCACCAAAGGAAAGCTCCGTCTGTCTGAAATCTAAAACTCATTTGGGTACAGTGCTGCATGACCGAGTAAAGTAATTGTCAGTCAGACTAACACAGGACTGAAAGCTGAAAAAATGGCCTGGTAATGAAGGGGTCATTACAGGATGGTAGTCAAGTAATCAGCATACACCACAGGAATGTTAAAGAAAAATCTCTGGGCAAACCAAAAAACTACCCGTACAGTGGGGCTACCTGTGCAGTGCAAGGGTTATTTACACCTTGATGCCTAGGGGACAGGAAAAATCTATTTTACTAACTCGATCCCCCTCTCCCACTGCTGCCTCTTCTCTCCGGAGGTCTGAGGACCACTAACCTCATCACATCTAATGCAGTTTGCATAGATGCGAGGACGCCACGGGTCATTCCACCAACCAGAGCGGAGGCAGAATAAAGGAGAGCGCTGACCGCCGGGGATCAGGTAAGTAAAAGTGCTTTACTTCGGTCCCCTAGGCATAAATGAGCAGTTAACCCATGCAGCACAGGGGAAGCCCCACTACAAGGGTATTTATATTTGGTTTGTCCAGTGATGGCCTTTAGCACATACATTGGTCTCTTTTTAGTTAATAAAACATAGAGCAGGAGTGGGCAGCCCCCCACCTGTTGTGGAACTACAAATCCCATGAGGCAGTGCAAGATCTCACAGCCACAGGCATGACTCCCTGTGACAGATGCATGATGGAATTTGTAGTTTCACAACAGCTGAAGGGCTGGAGTTTTTCCATCCCTGACATAGAGTTTCAGAATCAGAAGTCCTGCATCATCTCACCCAATGTAATAAAAACATGAGAACACAAATGATGGAAAGGACATAGAGAAGGATGGAAATGTCCGAGCAGGCAGACATTTCCACATGTATGTGGGTAATGCATTAGAAGACACAAGTCACTGACGTGTAAACGACAACAAACACAAGCAGCTGTGAATGAGATACAGACAGAGCACAGGGAGAAGGGTTCTTCCCCTGACAGCACACGCTGCTTCAAGGACCGCACACACCCACACACACACACACACACACACACAAGTCACATGGACAGGCGGCGACCTCACCTTTAAGGAGGGGGGGGCAGGGGTGGACGAATCACTATCGCATTGAGGCCTAATCGGCGACAACACGGCAGCCATATTCAAGCTAGCACATGAAATCACAACAACGGGAACACAGCACGAAGCAAGCCACGCCCCTAGCGCGCACTCCCACCTATCTGTAACAGAAGCACCGCCCTCTACACCTTAGTCCGCACAGCAAGAGGATCCGCCCTAAGCACGCGAGCTTTGTAAAAACACGCCTTATTAGCCTAAGCTCCGCCCAGAGCCTGGCGCACTGTGTACGGGATGGGGATGTAGCGCCCGCCATTTTACATGGATGTCTGTGAGGGGGACGAGGAGGAAACACTGAGGAAGTTTATAATACGTGTGTGGCATATTCAGTGAGAACTAGCAATGGTTCTCTCACACGTCTGCAGTGAATTACAATGTGTAACTGCAGAAAGAGTCCAGCTCGGTTACAGTAGCCCTGTACCTAGCAGATGTGTGCTTGATAAAGTGATCTTGTTAATTGAAATAAAGGGTTACCATGTAAAATAAGTACTTACATTTATTCTGTGGCTATAATTACAAGGAGCATGTCTGCGCTCTTCCTTGCTATCTAGGGTTGCCACCTTTTCTTCAAGCGAAACTCGAACAAACTAGTGAAATTTTTTGGGGAAAACGAGTCGTTGCTTATGCATATGTAAATAGAGCCACCCATTCATATGTAAATATCACAGTTGAGACTATAGATAACAAACATGTCAAGCGTTTAAAATTGGGTGAGTCTGTGCAACGGCAAAATATTATGATACTCATGGAACTGCAAGTGACATTGTGCAATGTCAATTATGCAACATAACAAACCCAACTTTAAATATAAAATAAAACACTAACACTTTTATTTGGCAATAAATGGTTGCAGCATTTTTTATTGGTTAACTGAATACATTTCAATAAATATCATAACTTTATTAAAGATCACTCAACCAAATAAATATTTATTGCTTGGATAGAAAAGCCCAAGCACACCAATCATAATAAAGTAATTAAATTTCAAAATGTCCCCCTCAATGAGGTGACAAACCATATAAATAAATGTCGCGACAAGCGAAGCAAGGATGGGATGGAGGGGTAAGCTCATCTGGAAGACAGCTGACAAAGGTGAGGGGGGTCACAACGTCTCCTGTCTCAGATATAGAGAGCTCCTGGCCGGCCGTTTTTTTACTACGGCCGGCCCGGAGGCAGTTAACGGGCATCGCTGCCTGTTTTAAAATGTCGGCATTTCCCACTCTGCGCGAGGGGGCGTGGCTGAGCGGACGTCTAAAGACGCTCGCTCATATCTAGAGAGTTCCTGGCCAGCCGTTTTTTTACAACGGCCGGCCGGGAAGTGGTTAAAAAGGGGGCTTCAGCCAATCTGAGGCCATCAAAGAAAAAGAGTTTTCCTGCCTAAAACGTTTGCCTGGATAAAGTCTTCATCCAATCGAATTCAAGTTAGTTTTCCTGTCTAAGACGGTAAGTCTGCCTGGATACTGTGTTAACCAATCACCTGTCAGGAAGAAAGCAGAAAAGAGCGGGAAAACCAAACAAGATGGGGGAAAAAGAACTACAAGTCACTGCAGATCCATGGGGGGGGGGGGGGCTCACCTAGGGTTCGTTCATCCCCCCTTTTCAATATTGTCCATAGACAGCGCTTTAAAAACCTTTTCCGCTGTTACAGTTAACAATGAAGTTTGGCCCCAGAATTATTGTATCTTGTCACCAGCCCACTGACACCAACGTACTTTAAATCCCTCCCACTGTTAGCACAGTTCGGGTACACCCACTCTTCGGCATAAAGCATTTTACACTATATTAAAGGAATCCACAGTGAGCAATGGTACCCTCCAATGGTATTTACACTTACCAAATTACCAGGGGCCCCTTATGAAAAGGAAGGTCTGAATGCCTAGAGTGGTATATCACCACATTCAGAAAAACATAAATTCTACTATATTTTTATGGCTCCAAATCAACCCCATGATAACAAATATAGAAAGGAGAGACACATAGCATACAAATGCACTGTTTATTAAAAATAAATTCCAATTACTCACAGGTGTACTATTGAATAGAGTGCTGTGCCTTTGCACTTTCTCTTCCCCTGCGTACGGACGCTCATATGTTCACTGGGACATCACAGTGCTTTGCTGACGCAGCCCAACAGTGTGAACCCAGCCTCCCTTCCTGAAAACGTTCCTAGCGCTGCTGCTATCTTACAATTTCCAGGTATGTCAGATACTGGGGGTGCAAGCTGGTCCATGCTCAAAGACGCGCAGGCACATGTGCACGCAACCCTGCAAACGCACTTTGGTACATAGACACGAGCACAGGGGAATGTTTACAGTCAATAGCGCATGCATGTTAGCAGGCACAATTTGTCTATTTAAACGGACATCATCAAGTTGCTGAGTGGTCGTCAGCTTGTCCCTGTGTGCCCTGCATTCTGTTTCTGTGTTCCTGATATTCTGTGTGTGAACCCAACTTGTGACCATTGACTCTGCCTCCTCCTTCTGACTTGGTACCCTGTCTCTCTGCTCTCCCATGTATGATTCTGGCTTACGATTCCTGACCTTGCTCCTGATCTGGGATTTGGCAATTCAAGATTCTGCTTCCCGTGTATGATCCCGGCTTCGAACCTGACTTCGCTACTGGCTTTCCACTTAGTGCCTTGTCCCACTGGTAGTCTGAGCCACCCCATCTAGCCAGGGCTTCTCTGGCTCCATGCCTGTTACCTGATCCAGTTCTGAAAGATCCCGGTGTCATCCTGGTTTTGTAGACTCACCAGCTGGTCAAACGCACTAAAGAGCCTCTACAAAACCCGGACAGCCACCAATACCAGTGCCTGTGCCTCTCACGTCCTTACATCCTCTATCACCATCTCCAGAGTTGTGGGACAAGAGGTGCACGAGTAGCCCCCTTGGGTCTCCATTCAGGTACGTGATAGGGGGCGTTTTAGTAAAGCATTTGCGACACTTTGTGTTATGGCCATATTAGAAAGTCCAGTGCCAAATTCATGAAAGCAGTGTGACAGTTCTCTCGCTATTTCCGATGTGTGCAACTAATTCAGGTAGATTTTACGTGTGACACTTTTACATTCTTGCCCAGACCTGGTTACAATCACAGAAGGTTACAGGATGGATTTCATCGTTCAAATACCTTTAAGGTTTATATTATCAAGCTACCAGGGGACACTGTCAGGGACCAAACCCTTTTGCCTTCTCCTAGTGGAACTATTGAACCACAGTGTACTGGTTCTCCTGCTTCAGAAATAGAAGTGTCATGGGTTTCACTCTACTTTTAAGGCAATTTTGTTTCATTCTGAACTTTAAACCTTTAAACGAACAAAACTAAATATGTTGGAAAGCACTCAGTACAATTTCGTCAGTACAATCCTTTCTCCCCCTCAGGATGTTTCTTGCCATCCCTAGATCTGAAGGATTGGTAACTTCATGTTCTCTTCAGGAAGAGCTCTCAACACTTCTTGAGAAGGTAATTCCATACCTAATCATTTTCTCCTTGCAGAATCTCTTTAATAGTTGCTAAAAACATATAACTGACACAGGATTGGATGAGGATACTTGGTGGGTCATAAATCTGGAGAAATCAAGTCTAACTTTTTCACATGTGGTTTGTTTCCTGGAACACACTATACATTCTAGAGTCCAACAGATCTTTCTGCCAAATTAAGCAGTGTCATTCAAGATGATTATACAAGTGTTGGCTCTGTTTTCACTTTCTATCCTAGCAGTGCAATTGGCTTGATTTGATCTAAGACCCTTTTGGTCTTTTCCACTAGGGGTTTAGCACTGTTGCCCGGGGGCTCTGGACTCCCAGGTAAGGTTTCCAGGCCAAGTCAAAATATACCTTTGATGGAGAGGTATGTTAACCTGTTAGAAGATGTGGTCCTTTCCAAATTTCTAGAGGATAACCACAAAGGCAAGCTCATGTGACTGGGATGCCCACCTGGAGTAACCTGTGACTCTGGCTCAATGGACCCAATAAGAGACCATATAATCCCCAAATGTCCCCAGTGCCATAAGTGTGGCTAATAGGGCCACGCCAAGAGATATTCTTTGCAGTTGCTTTAATGGGATATTTTTTGTAAGCAAAAAAAAAACTTAGTTTGGTATTAGATAGTGTGATTAATCTTAATAGTTTGTACAAATTGTAAACAGAGGTATAGGATTCAGAGAGTTGCATAGGTGGTAACTTTGAATTGGTGTTCATTTAGTCAACTAAAAGTTTTCCTCATAGTTTTCGTCAGCTGCATGTTTTCAGTGACAAAAATTAAATGAAAACCCAATAAAAACGAACAGGGTTCTTCACAAAAGGGTGAAGAGTTTGGAGAAGGCAGGAGAAGGGAACAATCTAGGACAGCATAGCTGAACTGGAAAGTGACCTTGGAGAATTTTTCCAAATCAGCTATTTTGGCCTAGATTGTTCACTTCTCCTGCCTTCTCCAAACTCTTCACCCTTTTGTGAATAACCCTGTCAGTTAATAGGACTAAAACTGTGACGAAAATACATTGCAATTTTCTCTACTGGAGATTTAGTCAACTAAACTAAAACAATTTAGATGACTAAAATACGACAAAAACGAAATGCAATTTTATTATAACAAATTAGACCGCGCTCGGATATGTGACATCAAGCTGCAATACTATCAAAGTGTGTGTTCACTTTCCCATAAATACTAGTACCTCCTGTACTGCGCTTTGCCCATATTTTAAAACATGTATAAAAACTTTTATAAAGCAATTTGTGCAAAAACAAAAAAACAGGGAATTATAAATAGAAACTATTTGGGGGGAATTTATCAAAACTGGAGCAGGCAAGAACTGGAGCAGCTGTGCATGGCAACCAATCAGCTTCTCTTTTCAGTTTGTTCAATTAAGATTTAAAAATGGAAAAGAGAAGCTGATTGGTTGCCATGCACAGCTGCTCCAGATTTTGTCTGCTCCAGTTTTGATAAATCCCCCTCCCTGTGTATTCACAAACTTTTATGTGTAATCACATACAATAAAATATTCAAAATGTGCCAAGTCCCATGTGTCAAAGGGACTGCGTCCCAAACTGCCCCCAACTTCTTTGAGGAAGTCGAATGACAA